CTCGTCTACTGCGGCATTTCGGACTCACGTCCCTCTTTCAGACTTCGCATTCGTAGTACGATGTTTGCTATCACGAAAACGACGCAGGTGCAATGAGCGGATACCGGTGGGATCGTGTACAGACGGCCAGAACAACCTCGCCGTGCTCGCTCACCTTCCTCCGCCCGCGCCCAGCATCTCCCTCCCCGTTCCGGGCCTCCCGAAGACAGAGCCCCTCGATTACAAAGGTGCGATCAATGCGCTATTTCCCAGTCTGTCTGGCGGCCTCTCACGCACTCTCTTTGACAGGTTTCACTCCGCATTCGTCGACGACGCCGTACAGGCGACCAGTAACCCATCGGGCGATCGGAGGTGTCCCGCCCTCGCCGTCACCCTGAGGAGTTTGCGCTCGTCTGCATGGGCAAAGAACTCTGCAACACGAGGCTTTGCGCGTACGCGTACGTTGGCTACAAGCGGCCCGGTTTCGTCTGCGGAACACCGCTGCATGGCCCGCGCGACGGTGAGTACACGCTCGCTCTTCGCTCACGATGTGCCACGCTAATCGGCTCGCTACGCAGGCAGCACGAAGGAAAATTTACAGATCGCAAGCTACGGATTGATGCGCAACGAATCGCGGCCACACAGGCATCTCCCAGGCCCGTCGTATCGTACCGCGAACAGGCTGTAGCGCCTGCGTTCAGAAGCTGCGAGGTATGTAGTATGTTGACCCGCTACTTCACTCTCGCCGCTCACAGGCAAGGCCCACGCGATTATAGTCGCCGATCCCGCAGTGATACCGCACGCCCGGAACCATCTGCGTGGGCTGCGAGGCGCGCCGCGCGCTCGCTGCTCGGGACCGCTGACAGACCAGCGCTCCGGCGCGTCGCTGCGAAGGTCTTCCCCCCGGCGACCATGCTGGGTCACACACACATAAATCTCGGCTCCGCGTACGCTGTGCAAGGTACCCAGCACCAAGAGAGCGGTTCACCGAGCGCTAGCCATCATGGCGTTCTCCCGTATCGCGAGGGTGACCGGGGGTGTACGGCGCCCGGGGAGAATCCCGCGTCGGGGCGCCCGCAGTTGTGGGTCCCCGCCACTCACCTCGTCTACTCTGCAGTTCCCGTCGCCTCGAAACAGCACCCCTCCACGGCCGAGTCTATCCGCAATTCGCCTGCACCTCGACGACATCCTGGGAGCCCGTACATCGACCAGGACGAGGGCCGCGCGTTTCGTATCCTCGCAGCGCTCTTCGCCTCCGTAAGCGAGGTTCTAGACGGCGGGTACGTCATTTTCCTCCTTCGGGCTTCTTCATTTCCTCCTTCCTCGCCGAGGTCCCCAGTTTTGCTGCAAGCTGCCCCGACGTGGACACGCGACTCCGAGCGCGGACATAGCTACGAGTTCGTTTCCGCGCAATGTCCGCTTCCGGACCCTCGTTCTGCGAGGTTCAGCTCCATGTACCAGCTCTGGATTTCTCGCCGCGAGAGGACCTCTGCGTGCTCCTCGCTGAGCACGAGGCTTTGCGACGCTGGACCTAAAGCTCGGAGCGATGGCAATGCATGTAGGTCTTCTCGAGCACGTAATCACGCCAGGGCCGGTGTGCACCCTCGTTCTGGGGCTGCACCCTCTGTATGCCTCGCAACGCTGTTCGCGTCCGACCACGAAGCACATTAGTAGACGGTATGTCACTCGTCTACTTCAGGCTAACCCGTTTCCCCTCGTCGTCCTCACCGGTATCCCCGATGCTACACAGGCTACCGGCAGCGGACGGATGCGACCCCGCTTCGCATGTCTGACCGGCCGCTTCCAAACACATCGTACGGCACTGTGCAATGCAGGGCTACGTTCGCGTGCGATTTTCGCGCGCCAGAACGCCTGTGGGGCGCACGAGGTGAGAGGTCGGGCGGACACGTCTCCGATGGGCTGTCCCCCGGCCTCTGTGCGAGTTCTGCGCGATTTCGCGACGACGATACCCCGTGTGGAGGCGTAAATACTGCCTGGATGCGATACCATACAGCGCACGTCGAATCGCGCGATTCGGACGTCCTTGGAGTGCTCGGGTGGTGTTCGAGTGGGGAGGCTCTCCGGGGATTTGTTCCCCTCATGAGGCTCTTAGATTTGCTCGCGACGCCGCAATACTTGGAGCCTGTACAGCACGAATACGATACAATGGACAGATACGAGTTTGATGTTACGAAATATATTGTAGTAGTAGGGGAGTACGGCCGCTGGTACGTGTAGCTGAAGAAACCAGGCACGCCCGCCCGCCCACCGACTCCCCATTCGACTGCGAAGCGGATGAAGTGGCGACGAACGCCCTCGTGCGTTCACACATCGTCGGTTACGCTCGGCCAGCTCGAGCTCCCCACTGCGAGGTGCACAAGACGAGCCTGAGGACGAGTATAGTGCGCGCGGCATGCTACACGTCCAACGACGGATGCCATAGCTTCGACGTACCTTGCGTGTTCGCGAACCACGTTCCGTGCGTCTTTGGATCGCGCCCCAAACGCCTAAGCATGCACGACGCCCCTGTAGTACGTACGAGGCGCAAGCCGGCGCGTACTTCGGATGCGGCGCAGACTGGACACGCTGCGAGAGCGACCGTCCGCCGCTCGTACCACCGTCGTCGTCCATCC